AAAATCTATAATTTTTTTTTTTCCCCACTTCTTATTTATGTAATGAAATTTGCTTACAAAAAATATTCTAATTTGTAAACAGATTTATTATTAAATATTTTATAATTAATTCAGGCTTTGGATGGGTTGGAAATTTAAATCTCGATATGCTTTTAATGTTCGCCAAGGTCTTGTAATAATTGAGTTTTATGTCTCTTCTCGTGTATTCCGGAGCTGTTTACTAGAAATGTCTGGAATATAGTCTCGTATATGCGAGATATGTGTGAGAAGTAACCTTTTATCGGTTTCTAATGTGTCGAAAGGAAGAGTATTCTTTAAAGAAAGCCATTTAAATGCCCTGTTCGTAGTTTATATTATTATTATCGGGGTTGTCGAGAGTTTGTATGGGACCCGAGGATAGGGCGGTTCCGTCTACCCCGTAATGTGCCTTTTTTCTTTCGTTTTCTTTTGAACAAATGAAATGTTTGGAATGTTTCTTTACTAATAAAGATTTTATTCTTTGTTAGTAAGAATAACATTAATTATTGGGATAGGAACCACTAAGGGCAACTGTGTTTTCTCCAGGTCGGGGAAAATCCCCAGCTCCTCCCTCTTGATGGTCTTTAAGTTTTTTTCTCTGTGATCGAGGAAAACTTATTGTCTGTATCAGTTTTTCTTCGCATTATTTAATGTCACTTTTACTAACAAAAAATAAAATCTTTAACATTGCTATTTATTAATAAAGAAAAGCATTTTGTGCATATTTCATTTGTTCAAAAAAAAAGAAAAAAGGAGCTCCATACCAAGCTTTTGATAGCACTGATTATTGTCAGATCTCTGCATAATTGTGTCTTTAAACAGAATCAGAATTGTTGTGGCCTTAAGGCCCTTACTCTCTTTATATGCAAATACTGCCCAGAATGAATTGCTGTTTATTGAATTATCAACATAAAATTTCATTAACAAAGACATTAATAAATAATTAGAGTTTTAACATTTTTTAAAGTTAAAGAATTATAATACTCAAGAATTACTACTGTTTTATTTTATCTTATTTGATAAAATTCAAGTAATATTGAAATTCTCGTCAATGTTTGCTATTTTATATCAAGCATTTCGAGAACATATTTAAATTTTTAATGTATTTTTCTTAATAAGATAATATTTCAAGGCTAATTTGTTACGGTCTATTTATATTCTTTCAAATCAGAAATTATTATAAATTTTTGCATAATTTTCACATTTATACAATACCGTTAATCATGTTATAATATAATTTTTTTTCTGTACTTTCTGCTTAAATTTAAATATATACTTAAATGTTAAGTTGAATTAATTAGAATTTAGAGTAAATTATTTTTAAATTTAATTAATTTAAGGTGAAATTATAGAAATATTACTAAATTTAATGAATATTGTCATGAGGTTAATAATAATATTTTTTATTTATGTATTTAAAGAATAGTTTAATGTTTAGTTAATTATAATTACAAAGTTTTACTTGGATTTATTATTATTATTATTATTATTTTTTTTTTTTTATAAGAATTAATGCTCGGGTTTCGATTCCCAATCAATATTCAAAAGAAATCTAAATATTGATAAAGTAATTCATGAATCTTAAACTAATGGATCAATATCTGTGCGATGATGCAATTTGTAATGATTTTAAGGCCAAATTTTAAGATGTTCTTTGTATTTAATGGAAGTAAAATCTATATATTAAACTAAGAGCAATATTATATAACAATAATAATAATAATGATAATAACTTAAATCTATAATGAATATTGGATTTCATTCTCTTACAATGATGTCCTAAGTAATCTATTACGTAATAAAACAACATTAATGCATAATCGTTGGTATATATTTGCAAATAAAATTTTATAATGATAAAGTAACATTGTTTTCCTTTAATGGAAATCCAGAATGCTTGCATTTATACCCTTTTCTTTTAAATTAGATGATTTTAAGCTGAAATTAAAACAGTTTTTCTTTATTTTTACTTTCTAATAAAGGTATAAATTGCTGTTTATAATTATCTAGAGATAGATTTTTACGACATCGCATATGGTGCGGCAGTAAATTTCTGATTGGTTAATTATATAATTGGGAATAAATTTCTAGAAAGTACGGCATTTGACATAATTTATATTTTTTCAGTAATAAAATGCTATAGTGTATTTTTTATTAAATGTGAATTTTATATGAAAAGTATTCAATATTTTGCTTTGCTCTATGCAAATTTGAAAGTCATAAATGAAAGAAAGGTGTCTAGAATTATATAAATGAGTTTTCCTTCCTTCAAAGTACTTGTGCTAATATGTAAATATAGAAGTTTTATAATGTAGAATAATGATATATATATACATTCTTAAGATATGCCGTTAGAAAAGGAGGCCAACGTATAATACCGACGGCAACTTTGGCTATTCTTATCCCGATTAATTTGCAGTCCAAAGTAAAATAAGAACTAGAACGTTCTCTCCATAGATTATTAAAGGCAAATTGATGAAAATCGGAACTTACGTTACTATTTTTATTGTACGAAGTTACCCTGTAAGTGAACGTAGTTAAAATATTTAATTTACTTTTATAGGAATTCTGTTATTGTCCACATGCTACAATTAAATGGCTTGAGTTAAAAGATAATTATGGAAATTTTGTGTAAATTTTTAAAAAAATAAATAAAAACATGCAGAAAGGAAAATTGCTGTTATAAATTATAGCTATTATGAATTACCATGGAAATTTCTACTTTTGTTTCTATAGTTAATAGTTATTATTGTCAGTCATTGTCTTTGCTGAACATTGAGCTACAGTTTATATTGTTATTCATTTAAATTTTATAGAATTTAAAGTAATTTTCAAAAAGTTTATACTTATAAATATTAAATGTTGTCAATAATAATTACATATTATTTAAATGATGAATTAATAAAATGCTGTAACTTTTCAAA